GTCAGGTGGAGGAGATACATTTTTTTCTAAGTGTAGATACATTACGGTGGTGATTTCGTGGGTAGGAAGGACATACCTAGGACAAGTTTAGGTTTAAGAAAAGGGGACATTTTGAAGTTGACATACAGGAAAGGGTGTTATCAGCAGGTGGTCTGGGGGTGCACATGCAGAGCAAACCCCACGATGACAGGGAAACAGCGGCTTCCTCTACTGCCAGGGAGGGCCCTGCCCAAGGACTCTTGGGGGCGGCACCGACCTTACCCTCATCCACCGCCCGAGGACCCTACCTCCTCGGAGCTGGCCAGGGCACCTGTGCTCTGCCCGCAACAGAACAGCGGCCACAGGCCTTCTGGCACCTCTCTGATCTCCTTTTCTGTCCTCTCCAGCCACAGTGGGCTCCTGGCTCTCTCTCAACACCCCCGGTATGAACCCACCTCAGAGCCTTCGCTGTAGACCACACTCACTCCCTCTTCTCCTCGACTCTGCTCCACTGTCACCTTCTCAGGAACTCCCTAGTCACTTACCCTGTGTACCAGCAGTCCTCCCAGCCCTCCCTCTGTCCCTTTCTCTACTTTTCTTTCATACTCGTCTCACTGCTCGCAGCACATGCCTGTGGGGCGTGCATCATCTGTTCCTGAGAGCAGAGACCAAGGCTCACCGTGAGGCGTGACATCTAGCGTTGTCTGTGCCTGCATGTTTGTGGAAGAGAGACCTTTGCATCCATCTTCCAGGCCTCTTCTGAAACATGGCTCTTCCCTCTGCTATGAATATCCTGCCCTAGATTCCAGGAGGAGGCTCCTTCTTTGGTGACACTATCCCAGACCTCCTCACCCCAGGCAGCTAATCACCATTTCTACTGCGCTTCTGCTGTCCCAGCTGTCCCCAGCTCTGAGCCCAAAGGGCTATGCATTTGTGTCCAGGTTCCATCCCCACCAGACCAGGGACAGTCCTGTGTGGCTCACTGCTGGGTCCCTGTCCTCACCAGCCCAGAACAGATTACGAATACCTGCTGAACAGCCTCCCACAGCTCTGGCTGCTCGTGCCCCATCCTGCTACATCCTGCTGTTTACCAAACGTTTCCTGAGGCCTTAATGTGTACTGATCCCTGTGCCTGGAATACTGTCCCCGACTCTTTCCACCTGGTCACCTAGTCATTTTCAGGACCCAGCATGGGCTGTTCTCCCTGAAGCCATTACCCTGATTCCCCCAGCTACCATCCAGGGGTCTCTCCCTAACTCACTCTGCCCTGGCTACCCCACCTAAGGTCCCTCATAACTGTCCTTAGAGTGCAGCTTCCAGAACCTCATATGTCTCCCCCATCAGACTGGAGACCCCCCAAGGGCAGTTCTGACCTCAGGTCCCACCACTGTCTAGCAGAGGACGTGCAGGTCAATGGCTGACAGTGGCCCGAGCCCTGACCTCCCTCCCTAGGGACCCTATCCTGCTCTGTGGACAACAGCTGCTCCTCTTCAAGGCCCAGATCACATGCTACCTCCTCTGCAAAGTTCACCCAGCCCCCAGTGGTTGATGTTTGTTCACTGGATTCCTTCAACCACTGGACCCTATCACACTCTGACCACCTTGGGCAGTGGCTAAGCAGGTCTGAAGGCTGAAGACTCTTCGAGGAAGGGCTAGAGCTATCACCAACTCTTCCCTGTCTCCAGCAATGCTGAGCATGTCTGTCTCTGAGACATTTGCTGAATAGCTCCAAAACGGTGGCAACATCTCCAACTTTGGACCAGGATCCCTCCCGCTCTCTCACGCCTGACTTCACAGTGTCCATCCTCCAGGTGCTTCAGTGCCCACTATGACTTCACACAGTGGGCCCATGACAGGCAATCAGGTCACTGTCCATGGCTACCAGGTCTTGCACGTCCACCATGGCTTCTAGGACCACAAGCCCTTTTGCACCCATCATGCCTTCACCTAAGAGATCCTCAAAGCCCAGCACGTCTGTGGCTTCTACTGGATCCTCCATGCCTGCTACGGCTCCCATATCTCCTGCCTCCTTGAAGGTCACCAAATCAGCAATGCCCAACACCTCCTCAGTAGCCCCCAAGCCATCAACATCCCCCAACTCAGTCATGAGCCCAAGTAGTTCCAAGTCCACCAAATCAACAAGTACAAAGTCGGCCACTTCTAACCAGTCCCGTAGCAAGTCCCAAGTCCGCAATAAGGTAAGAACGCCCAGTAGGGCAAGCACCGACACAAGGACCAGCAAAGGCAGCAAGACCAGCAGCACAAAACACCATCATCAGAAAGGCACACACAGCCGGGGCCGCACACCTGGCAGAAGGAGCAGTCGCAGCTCTAAGAGATCACCCAGCAGGGCCAGCACTCCTAGCAGGATGAGAACTCATGGTACCAAATCAGGCTTAGCTAAAAGGGCGAGAACTCCTACTTCCCATCCAAAATGGAGTCGGGACAACAGTTATAGCCGGCTTAGAACCAACACCCAGGAAAAGAGCAACTGCCAGCTTAAAAATATGAGCAGGAAAAAGAGTTACGGCCCACAAGAAGCCTTAGGTGTGGGGAACAGTTCCAGGTTGCCTGTAACCCCCAGCCGCTCAAAGAGTTACAGCCCAACTAGAACACCCTTTCAGGGGAAGGGCAACAGCCAGTCTCCAACACCAACAAGGAGAGTGAAGAGTTCTAGTCAGATGGCAGCCCCCAGGAAGGAACCAAGTTATAGCCAAACTGAAGTAGCCAAGAGGACCAAGAAGTATACCCAGTCTAGCACCCCCAGAAGGACCCGAAATTACAGCCAGTCCAGCACTCCCAGAAGGACCCGAAATCACAGCCAGTCCAGCATCCCCAGAAGGACAAGAAGTCACAGCCTCTCTAGCACCCACAGCAGGACCTGGAGTCACAGCCTGTCCAGCACCCCCAGTAGGACCCACAGTCACAGCCGGTCCAGCACCCCCAGCAGGACCCGAAGTCATAGCGGATCTAAAACCCCTAGAAAAACGAGAAGTCACAGTCGGAGGAGGACCCACAGCAGGATGAGAAGTCACAGTTGGAAGAGAAATCATAGTAGGGCAAGAAGTCACAACTGGAAGGGAACTCCCAGACATAGAAGAAGATACAGTCAGTCTAGAACCCAGAGGAGGAAGAAAAGTCAGAACCTCAGAAAGGAAAGAGGTCACAATTGGTCAAGAACCTCCAGTGAGGAAAGATGTCACAGCCATTCTAGAAGTGGCAGCAAGGAGAGAGATCTTAGCCCATCTAGAACTTCCAGCAAGGAGTCAGATCACAGCCAATCTAGAACCACCAGGAGGAAGAAAGATCTTGGCCAACCTACAACTTCTAAGAGTCTCAGTGTGAAGATATCTCCTAGCAGGAAAAGAACTTCCAGTCAGGACAGAACGCATAGCAAGACAAGGAACCGCTCCCAATCAAAATTTCCCAGTGGAGCCCAAACCCTAGGCCAGGACAATAGTCAAGACAATGCTCCTACCACTAAAGCCATCTCACCTGGGGAGAGGTCTTCATCATCTTCTTCTAAGCTGGCGTAGCCCCCAGTCTCAGCTGGCTCCCGAGTCTCTGTCATGGCCAGGGGGGGGGATGGGAGACAGGAGAAGAGCAGCAGCTGGGCAGTGTCCCTTCCCGGCCAGCTCTTCAGTCACACCTCCGGCCACCAATTCTTCTAATACAGGATGTTGGCAGATAGAGAGGGATGCTGGACAGGGAAAAGGAAAGACCTGTGGTGACTCAATAAATTTTTACATAGTGCTCGTCCCCATTCCAAGTCCCACTGTGTGCTAAGTGCTGGGGTGAGGCTCTGTCTCAGACTGTCTTCAGAGCCCCAGCTATAGCTCTTGCCCCTCTGGAGACCTTAATTTCCTTATCTGGGCAATGAGACTGTTTTGTGTTTCTTATTCAATGGGGTAGAAAGGGTGACATTCCGTATACTTAACAGTAGATACTGGCATAGGCGCACTAATCAGAATTAAAGAGTGGGGCAGGCATAAACCCTTTTGGAGCTGGATTGTGGGGAGGTCCAGGGCTGGAAGAGGATCCAAAGTGGTAGTCAGGGATACAGAGTGCTTGGTATTTCAAAACTGAAACAACTGAAGATGGGTAGCATGGCACACACCTGTAATCCCAGTGACTCAGAAGGCTGAGGCAGGAGGTTTACAAGATCAAGGTCAGCCTCAGCAATTTAGCAAGACTCTCAGCATTTTGATGAGATCCTGTCTCAAATAAAAAAATTAAAAATGGGGCTGGGGTTGTGGCTCAGTGGTAGAGCACTCGCCTAGCAGGTTCGAGGCGCTGGGTTCGATCCTCAGCACCACATAACAATAAATAAAATAAAGATATTGTGTCCAACTACAACTAAAAAAATATTAAAAAATAAAAATAAAAAAATAAAAAGGACTGGGAATGTAGCTCAGTGGTAAAATGCATTTAAAAAAAATTAAGCAATCGATACAGTTGCACTAGTTTGTGAATGTCAGCCTTAGCTGTGTATCAAGTGTCAAGAGAAGTGTTTAGGTAAGTATCCTACATCTGTCACTCTTTAGCTAGGGAGCTTTAAGCAAAGGACCTAACTACCTTCTCTGTATGAAAGAGGTATCTAGGCCTTGACTTACACAAACCTCCAAACCATGTTGAGACATTATCTTCTTTGTACAGATGAGGAAGGTGAGGTAGAGGATAAATGAGTAGTCCAAGGTCACAACATCTGGGAGGTGGTCAAACTAGGATTTGAAGCTATGTCATCCTACCTCTCATAAAATGATTTTGATGGCTCAAGAGATTTTTTGAAGATTTGGTAGACTCACAAATTGCTGGTATGTGACAGGAACTCCATGAACTTCCAGCCATCCCAGGCTCCTCACCTCTCCCTGTGCACACCAGGTCTTATTACATCTGAGGTCTTGGTGCACCCTCTGGAATGTCCTTTTTGGCCCCTGTAGATCTGGAGATCTCCTTTTCACCCTTCAAAGCCTACTACAAACACAAGAACCTCTACGCTTCTTCCCAGACCAAACACTCTGCCTCTCCCAGCGAGACATTCCTAATCCTTCTCTTTTATTTCCTCTTTACCAAAAGACCCCGCTGAAAACACAGATAGTACTTTCTGTTTCTCCTACTGCACTCCCTAATGGTGGAGAGCCACACTGGGCCAGTTAGTGAAGGGGCTGGCAAATCCCCTTATATGACAAAGCCTGTGATAGGCACTAGGGATACAATGGTGGAAAATACCTGTCTTCAAAGCCCAGAGGTCAAGTTCATTGCTAAGGACTTAAGATCACACTGAAGCCTGGAAAAAGATGAAACTTGGCAGGAGAAC